GCCTTCACATTCTCCGGACGCCCTCCCCATGTCTTCAAGCATGTGTTTTGTAGTGCCCTTGCATATGAGAACGAGACGTGCCATGGGTTGGGTGCTTGGTTCATGGCATTCAAGTTCAATGTTGCCTCCACTTCAGATTGCCCACCAGACAAAAACTGTCCAAAATTCAACAATTTTTGTTATTTTAGCCTATGCGATGCTGGCGAGTCATGTCCAGTACTCTTTTATCCATACATTCCGTATGACCTATAGGTTATAAGCATTTAAAAATGCTTCCAAACAAGCACTTACCATGATTCCAGGGACAGATGGGGGGATTCTCCTTTTGAGGAGGTTGAGAGTGTACTCAGCAACCTGCTCGGGAGTAGCCTTGTCCTTGCACTCGGCACCCGGGGTAACCATGCTAGGCTTGAGGAGAATACCCTCAAACAGGACATTGTTCTCAGCCAAGTAGAAGAACACCTCAGCCCATACTTTTTTAGCAACCTCAAAAGTCCTGTCAATCCCATGTTCTCCATCAAGCAAGATTTCTGGTTCTACAATTGGAACTAATCCATTGTCCTGAACACCAAATAAACATCAAATTTCAGTCGGATGACTTTTGATTAACAGAACGGATGCTGGTAAGTTGTACTGAATGAGACTTTACAACTTTTAATAATGTTCAATCCTATGTAACCGACTTGAAATTTAGTTAATTGATAAAACAGATGTCAGTACTTGAGAAATGGCAGCATATCGAGCCAGTCCCCAGGCAGCCTCCTTCACGGCCAAGGCAGATGGACCGTTGGGAATGCTCACAACAGTACGCCTAAAAGATGGAAATTCAGAAGCTATCAGTAAATATCTACCACAAAGGATTAAGGGTAAAAAATTGCAGATATTCTGTTAAATTGCAAAACGAGCATTAGTCATACCATTTGGCAAAACGAGCACCCTGTTGGTAGTAAGCAGCAGACCGGGAAGCAAGGCCATCAAGACCTTGGCACCAGGACTCATTATTTGAACCAGCAAGGGGAACCAAACCCTGCACAAACCCAATCAACATTTTTAAGAATTTTGAATCAATCTTTTTGATGAATTGACAAATTCTATGTAGAACATTAGTTACCTTGTCGACTTTGATACCGGGGACAATGTTTTGCTGTACTAGGACATCGACCATTTTCTTCCCATCGGTAGTGGATTGGTAGAGAGTCTCCTCGAAGAGAATTGCACCTGAGATGTACTGGCCAAGGCCGGGGGCAGTCACCAGGAGGGTACGGTAAGCTTGGCGATTAGCCTCCGTGTTCTCAAGCCCGATGGACGCCAAACGCTTTCCACAAGTAGCATTGGATTCATCCATTGCCAGAATTCCACGCCCCGGCGATGCAACAGTTTTCTACACACATGATATCAAGACTACATTTTCATTTCCCATTTTAAACTTCAAAGTTAACACAATTTGTCAATGAAGTTGCAGTTCCAAAACAAAGTCATCTAACAGGTTAGAAACCTGTTGATAGAAAGGTTGGAATTGGAGTTTTTATATAAATGTTAAATCATGCGTGATGATGTAGTCCAAAAATATAATGATTAAATCCCAAGGTTTCAGAATTCAAGCGACGACAAGTAATATGATTATTTAATGGAATAATTTTCACCGGTTAAACGATTCTATCACTAGCGTGTAAGTAAGTAAATCATTCACAACATCTCCATTATCCCTATGTTTTCTGGTCATTTCTTGACTTGGACATCGAAATGTCTCCAGGAATTCCCTACCCCTTATGCAGGTACTCGCCTCCACAAGCCCGATCATTAAACCGAGCTAGGCACTCTCGTTGTGGATTTTCAAACAACATGAACAAGAAATATTAATGTATGATGCTTTATTCATAGTGCGAGCTAGTAAAAAGTCATGTTGAATTGATTGAGCTAGCTTTGAGAAATTAAAAATAAATACATACCGCGGTTTTAACAAGCTCATCGGCGTAAGAGGAAGCACGAACGCTGAGCGATGATGGGGCGGAATTAGGGTGGCAGCGTACAACCGTTTGACGGAGTGTCTGGCCCTTGACAAACTCAGACTTGTCAAGAACAGGAGATGACTTAAGAAGTGATGCAGAGGCCATACTCTACAATCTTATCTCCTCTTTCAGAATTTCACACTTTGCCACACATATGCACACACTCAACATTCTATTTATAATTGTCCAAAATTATGATTGTTTGTACAAAAGATGTCTCATTTGAGGCTGGCATGAATTGGCCAATAGTTGGTCGCCACATAGACATGATAATTTGTCCATTTGTCACTGTACAAGTGGTTGAAATAGATGGGGTTATTCCCACCTCGTAAAAACCAAGAAATAAATGGGATCGTAAATTGAAAATTCTTGATATTTTTTTGGCATCGCAATCAACTATATAGATCCCAAATTGGAGCGGCTTCAAAGATTCAAGTAGAAATGTTCTAATGGCCCTGGTTTATTTTCAGGATTTGGTGACTTAAGCACCAGAAAGATAGCCACGTCAGCCAAGCTCATCATGCCACGTAATCAACATTTTAGTCTGCTAATGGGACCTAAATTATGCTACTAGTATCGAGCGCCTAGTCGCCCGGTTCCTAGCTAGACCAGCCAGTTCAATTCGATTTTGTAAAGCATTAATTGTCATATACATCAAACTAAACCTCGTTTCTATAAATTTAGCGACCGAGTCGCCTTAATCGAGTGTCCAGTGGGGGGATATCATAATTTGCCTTTTTTCCCTGGACATGGCCTACTCCAGGATGTCTTTTATCAAACAAAAGTTGGGAGAATATAAAATTAATGTGCTGAGATAATAAAAATAATAAATTTTTATCTTTCTTTTAGAAGCAATAAATTTGCTATCTCAATATGAGCTTAAATTTCTATTTTAAGTTGATTTAATAACTTTTTAACCAGTCATTCATTAGAAAACTGAATTTATAAAAACTTACAAGCATGAACAACCCAAGCACCTAAAAATCTCAGCTGACACAAGAACTAGCATGAAGTAACAGCACCCCAACAAAATTTAGCCATAGAAAATGATATTTATATTTAAAGTAAATGCTAACACTGTAAGCCAAGAAGTTGGGAACATGAAGAATTGTGTTCTCTAAACCAATGTGGTGAAAAACACCATATTCCAACATTAAAGCCAAAAGAGAGGATTTCTCAGTATTCAAGAAGCATAACTACACTACTTTGTATCGTTGCCAGATAAACAGTCAAAAAAATTCTAAAACTGACTCGAGCTCAAAGACAGATCAGCAATCCCGGAAATGAGAGCATCAAGTGACTTGTCTTTCGAGCATTTCCATTGTTCAGAATCGTCAGGAATAGAAGGTTCTGGCTCCAAAGTACTTTCTGCTAGGGCTTTATTCAATTGTTTAATAAGTTCATCCTCCAAGGGGGGAATGTCTAAATCCCATACCTTGAAAATGTCTTCAGTTGATTCCTCCAATTCAGATTCTTTAAAAATGAACTTCACCTCAGGATTAGAATTACCAAGATCCTTTAAATTCTCATTGTATGTAGGAAGGAAAACATATTTCATGTCATTTTTTGACCAGAAATCATCGGTATTCCCGGTGTTCAGTTCCGGTACCTTATCACTGGAAGCAGTACTAATAGTTGCTGTATCCGAATCATGCGTATTTCCTGAATCTTCAATAGATGTAAATGGAAAAGCCCCTATCTCGGCTCCTTCAGGGGTAACATTGTCTTTTGCCTTAGCAGAAGAGTCAGGCTCGGATTCAAGAGTTTCCAACAATGCATCTTTAAGAGAGTTCCAACTGTTTTCGAACATTAAGGGATCTTTACTCAGGCAGGAGTCTGCCCAGGCGACATCTTCCGGTGAAAACACAGATTCACTCTCCTCAATTTCTTCAGAATTGAGACTTGAAGAAGAAACAGAGCTTTCTGCCATGTCATCCCCAATGGCCATGGCAATAAGATGAGTAGACAACGTTGTTGTAACCTGCCCATGGTACAAAAAAGTGATCACCATAATGTATCAGACATAGAAATTACAGTATCATGAAAAGAAAAGCCTGAAGTCTGATGACAACACTATATCAATAAAAGTAAAATATGTGGTCATTACTCAAAACAAGCACCTGCATAGTCATAATTCTTGAGTTTATAAGCACCAGTGCAGAACAAAGCAAGATTACGTCGTAATATGACTGCACAAGAAAACAAGAAAAAGAAGCGACTCAATAAAGTTGAATGTGGAGCAGAACATACACACACTTGCAGTATTTCATTAGCAAGACATTGACATTCTAACTTCTCTGCTTATACACATTTCAAGCGTTCAATGAAGCATCTAAAATGCTTAAAAGAGGTGAATGACAATTCTCCAAGAATACCCAGTTTTCCATTCACTTACAAATACACAAACAGGAGTAGACTGAGAAGTCATTCCCTTATCAAAACTTCCTAACTATAAGACTCAAAACTGCAAGTTTTTGCAGGCAAACTTTGATCAATAAATCGACTACCTTTGTCTAAAATACATTAATCTTCAAAATTGACATGGTAAAAAATACAAGGGGCAAACTTGTTAGAGGTATATATGTAAATAGTAAAAAATTCTTCTCCTTTATAACCTAATATTCCAGATAAGGCGACCTTTATAACCCAATGTATTTTTAGTAATTAACTAATACTTTATCGAAAACCTAATCCAAATTAACAGCGAAAATAGGCTTCAATTTATGGCTTTTCGTACCAAAAAATGAAAAAAAAAACCCCATTTAAATTTTTTAACCTATCCAAGTCCCCAATAATCTATTAATTTAGTAGCATCCACTGATGAATGAGCACTGATTCAATAAAGAACTCAGGGCTCACTTTGTCTATATTACTGCAACTTACCATTCACTTTTCGTTCAATTTGTCCAATTCATCTTTAAAACTTCTAATTATTTACCAATAGATAAATCTTTGCAGCTTTGTAGTTTATACAGTTCTGAGGTGACTATAATCAGGAAAAAAAGGAAAAATTTGGAAAGTAATCATTAACAAAGGGCAAAATCAACAACGAAACAGAACAGAGAGCGCCTTTTATTTTAATTTAATATACATAAATAACAAACACTTGGAAAAATTTATAAACCCTTCAAAAAGAAACAAAAATATTAAAATAAAAACGTAAGATAGAGAGAGCAGAGAGAGTACCTTATAGAGAATGGAAAACAAGAATGAAGAATTTAAGCGAAGAAATAGCCGAATTTATACAGAGCTGGAAGTTTCTGTTTGTTAATGAAACGACAATATTCATGTCGTTCGATTCAAATTTCAAAAAATTTTAAACAAGGTTTGTGGAAGGGGAAATAATTGAAAATACCCAAAATTTAGCAATAGCCTGTTCAAAGTAGTCTTTAACCATTCCAAGCTTTGGAACTACCTAAAATACCCCTAAGAATAATAATTACATCTAAGCTACCAAAATAAGAAAAGAGTACAATCAAGTCCTAGATTATCACAAAATGACTATTAAAAATTATAAAAAAACATAGAATTAAAAGAGGACCGTACAAAATTAAGAAAATAGTAAAAGATAAAAAAGAAATTGAATTTGAAAGTGAATTTGATAAGATTGGATATCAATAACAATTGAATG